TGATAAATATATATATATAAATTTTTTCTTCTCCTTTTTCTTTTTATTTTTTAATTTAAAAAAAAAAAAAAAAAAAAAGCACGTTAAAACATCTAAGCACTAACGAAACGCCTGCCCAACTGAACAACAAGTTTCACTTTCAACAGAATAATTACTTCGTACACTTTCGACTATAATCGGTTACTTTCGACATTAAGGATTATGTATGGCCAACGATTTGTCGTTTTCTTCTTCTTTTTCGTTTCCCGTTTTTTTTTCTTTTTTTTTTTTTAAATAATGTTTTACGTATTAGTTTTAAATTTTTAAACTAATAATTATAATAATAAAATACATAAATAAATTATTATTTATTATTATTAAATATGACGTCATTTATTTTATGACGTAAAAACAAATTTTTTTTCGTCAAGTGAAAATTTAACGTAATTATATATATGTAACCCCACAAAAAAACTTATACAAAATGGCGGACGCTTTTCAAAAAATTAAAAAAAACCGATTTATATAAGTTTGATATTTTTTTTATTATTTTCATTCATTACTTACTTACTTAAGGAAATTAAATAAAAAAATTCGTTACATAACTAATTTAAAACTTATAATAATAATCCATTTTAAAGTCGTAAATTACATAAAAAAAAAAAAAACAGTGCAGCCAACTGATTAATTTTTTTTAAAAATCAAAAAACGGTTTAAAAAAAATTTTTTTTTTTATTGCCAACAAAAAAACAAAAAATCATTTATTTGACCGAATCGAATGAAAAAAAAAAAAGAAAATTACGTAAACCATAATAATAATAATAATAATAATAATAATAATAATAATAATAATAATAATAATAATAATAATAATAATAATAATAATAATAATAATAATAATAATAATAATAATCTATCAATTTTTTTTTCGAAATTACGCGTTTACGTATAATAAAAACAATAACCTGAAAATTGAATTTTTTTTTTATCTCTCTCTCTCACACACACACACACTCTCTCTCTCTCACTCTTTCTCTTTATTCATTTTCATTTACAGTCAGTTAATAACGCGTAAATTTTTTACGTTAAAAAAATTATTATTATTATTATTATAAATATTAATTTATTTTACCGTAAATCGTAACGTAAATTTCTTCCTACGATATAAAAAATAATTTGAATTAAAATATTTTCTTTTTTTTCTTCTTCCGCATTTTAAATAATTAAATAAATAAATAAATAAATTTCTTATTATTTTTTTTTTTATTAACAAATAATAATAATAATAATAATAAAAGAGAAAATTAATAATTTTCTTTTTATTATATTCCATTTATTGATCGTGCCATCTTTTAATTTATTATGACCTCGAGTTTATAACTTCCGGTTTGAGATTTGGCAACATCTAATTGAAAAAAAAAATTTCACATTTCTACACAAACGTCGGAATGGAAGGGGATGAGGAAAAAAAAGATGGCGTCTGACCGATTGTCGTGTCTAATTAAAAAAAAAAAACTTTAACTTTTTTTTTTTTTTTGTATGTGGCGAGAGAGAGAGAGAGAGAGAGAGATAGAGATAAAAAAAAAAGAAAGGAGTGATGGTAATAATAATGATAATAATAATAATAATAAAACAAGTTTTTTTTTTTTTGTTAGTTAGTTTCCAAGAAATAATTATATTTGCAAAAGTTGATGCGGTAACAAATAATTTCAACTCAACTAAGCTTGAACGCAACAATAATAATAATAATAATAATAATAATAATAATAATAATAATAATGATAATAGTAAGCGTAAAGGGAAACTAATGGAATTAAATTTCCTAGTTTTTTTTTTTTTTACGTAATTACGAATAAATTTTCTGTTTCTCTTTCTTTTTCCGTAAAAATGGAGTATAAAAACAAATGAATATACGATAATAATTAAAAATGAAGGAAGAAAAAGAAAAAAAAAACGTTAAATGTAACGTTTAACGAGATTTTTTAAAAAAAAAATCGTATTCGAACGAAGGTTAAAAAATTACAAAATGGTAATAATAATAATAATAATAATAATAAAATAATAATACGTGCGTTCGTGTTTGTTTGGAAAAAAATTAATTACGAAATATTATGTAAGGTATTAAGGTATGTGCGTTAGAAGGGCCCTTTTTTTCCAGCGTATATAACAACAATACATTCTTTGTTCATTCATTTTATTATCTCGCCTGTGTTTACTTCCCAACAATTACGATAATAAAAAAAAAAAAAAAAAAAACTGTCAAGACACAAATAAAATTTTTTTTTTTTTTATATGTGTCAGTGGCGTACTTAGTATACTACTAAACAAACGATTGAAAAACGACGACGGAATAATTATTTAATTCTATTATTATCATCATCATTAATATTTTGTAAAAAAAAAAAAAAAAAGGAAAATGTTTATGAAATTAACGAACGAACGATGGAATGTTCTCGATGGTTTCGTTTGCAGGAAAAGAAAAAAATAATATATATATGTAATTGATAACGATTATTTTTTAATTATTTGGATTTAATTACTTTTGCAAAGGAAATTTGAATTTTTTTTTTTTTAGAAAATAATAATAATAATAATTAACTTGAATAAATGTGTGAATCGTTTACGATTTATTATTATTATTATTATTATCTGTTTCGTTTTCCCGGTTTTATTTTCGTTTTATTTAAAATAAAAAAAAATAAAAATTTTGAATAAAATGTTGAGATTATAATAAAATACGTCATTATGACGTCATTCGTTTATTCCATAGAGTAAGAATACGTAACGAAAATGAAAAAAATTTACCCCTTCCCCTTTTTTTTTCATTCGAAAATTTGAATTTCGTTAGCGTCGTTCTTTTTTTTTTCTGTCAAAATGTCGTTACAGTGTTTTTTGTGTTTTTTATTAGTTTTTTGATTTGTTTTGTGTAGAAAATAAAGTAATTTGGTGAAACCGGTTTTTTTTTTCGTTTTAATAATTAAATACCACGGCCGTAAGTAATAATTTACTTTAAAAAAACTTAAAATTAATATTAAACCAAAAAAAAAAAACTGTCGAGTCCGCCATATTGCAAAATATCAATTCTTTTGTTTAATTAAAATATGAATGAAATAAAACGGAGAAATTTAATTACGTTTGAAATTAAATATTATTTTAAAAAAAACAAAAAGAAAAGAAAAATTAGTTATATATATTGAAATTTAATATAAAATTTTATATAATTCATTCATTCATTCGTTTTTGTTAACGTACGATAGATAATTAATTTAATAATCGAATTTACAATTTTTTTTTTTTGTTTAAATTGCTTGTATTGAACTCGTTAAAAAATATTTTTAAATCGATTGATATTAATGGATGAGTTAAAATAAGAAAAGGGAATGAATGCCCTCTTTAACATTAAAATAACAGTTTGTATAACAACAACAACAACAACAACAATAATTTGCTTTTCATTTTAATTAATTCCAATTATAAAAAAAAAAAGTCCCTTATTCTTCTTCTTCTTTAATTTCGACATTGATTTAATGTTTTTTTTTTTTATTCAATACTTACTCTTTTTGACAAAAGAAATTTTAATCAATTTAAAAATTTTCACAAATAATAGTTGATAAAATTTACAGGCTCCTCTCTCTCACTCTCTTGTATGCATGATATCTAGATTTATTATTATTATTATTATCATAGCGTTATTTATATATATATAATGTGTGATAAGAAGAGAGTTAAAAAGAAACTTTGATAAAGAGTCAAGAAATAGTAGATGAGAAACCCTTTAAAAAAAAGCTGACGATAACAAAAAAAAAAAAAAAAAAAAAAATCTAACCAGAAACTGCACTTCGTCTTATTTTAAGTTTGTTGACTTAATTTTTTTCTTATATATATATATTCTCATGACTTTGACGATAAGAAAAGATGAAAAAAGAAGAAATCAGGGTCGAAATAAGGTTAAAATCTTTAATATTACTTAATACAAATTTTTTTTTAAATTTGGGTAATCCAATAACACAATCATTAACTTATCAAAAACGTTATCATTTTATATATATATAAAATCAAATATTAAATATTATTATTATTATTTTCGTTAAGTAAATTTTTTTTATTAATCGATTCGGGGATGGTAATCGTATTTCGATTAAATAAAAAAAAAAAAATTATTGAATTAAAATATGATACACAACCGTAATCAAATAATAATAATAATAAAAGTATTTTTCCTTGATAAATGAGACAAAGAGACGAATGTGATAACGTTATGTTGTTATCACTAATTATTAATAACAAATTTATAAACACAAAATTTTCAAAAGATAAAAAGGGAGACTGTAATAATAATAATAATTTTTAAATATTTTTTATTTATTAAATAATTTATAATTGTTTTTTTTTAAAGTACCAACAGCCCATCTACTAAAACATTATTATTATTAATTAATTAATTACATAAATTTTTTTTATTATTTTTACAACAATGATAATAATATTATTACAATCGGATAAAAGGGGGTATTACAAAACATAATTATCGAGAGAGGTAGACATTTTTTTTTTCTTCTATTAAATATTTATGTTATTCTTCTGCTTTTAAAAACGTTAAAAATTTGATTGGAATGTGCATTACGACTATATCTACGTTTAAGATTACGCAAAATATCTACGGTAATGATATCACACAAATTTATTTATCCTAAACAATCAATCAATCAATCAATCAATCAATCGCTTTACAATAAAAAATATATAATTAATGTCTGACGGAATTGAATTGATAACAAAAAAACAATAATAATTTTCTACTGGCATTAATAAAAAAAGAAATCAAGCTTCTAAATATATTTATATGTAATTTTCATATCACTCTGTTTCCTTATAATTATTATTATTATGTGTGTGTGTGTATGTATGTATATATAATATAAAGCAACAAGACGAACGAATAATTAATTATCGCGTTGATACGACAAACTATATCGTATCGAAGAGTAAAAAAAATTTAAAACATTTTTTTTTCTTTTTGTTTAAAACAATAAATCTTCATCTCCTTCGTCTAATAAATTATTCGGAGCCTGATCCCAATTTACGGTTTTCTTTTGACTTTCGACTTTTGCTCTGGCTATCTTTTTCTTATCCTGTATTTTTTTTAATCTGGAATAAATAAATAATAATAATAACAAAATGTCCTCTTTCGAATTAATCAATTAATTAATTAATTAATTCACCTGTAAAATTCTTCACGCTCCAATTCGTCTAATTCCGACACGATATACGATAAGGTTCGTTCGATACGTGGAATTATAACTGAAATAAATGAAAAATTTCTTATCGTTACATAAAAAAAAAAAAAAAAAAATTAATATTTTAATCGATTTCATCAACTAGAAATGTTTTATGAATGTTTATGGTTGTTGAATTTGATCCTTGTTACAATTCAATATCATGTCTTCTCTCTCTCTCTCTCTCTCTCTATGTGTTTTAAATTTTGTTTAAAATAATAATAATACAAACCATGTTCGATTGCATTAACTCTTCGATTTGTTATTTTAATAACTTCATCGAGTGTAACAAATGAAGTTTGAAGTGAAGCTAGTTCGACCAATAGTTTTATAGCAGCTTGATAATTTTTCTTTAATTTTGCCAATTGTTGACCACCTCTAGCCAAACCGGCAAGTTCATAAGTGTCAGTACCATCTTGATAACTTTCAAAAACTGGTAAAGTAACACCTGAAATCAAAAGGAGAAAAGTTATCTGGGTGGTATTTATTAAAAGAAACAATATTAATGTGTATGTAAAACTGAGCAAATGTGTTTGTTTTATTTCGAATGAAATACCTGCTACATTATCCTTTTTAGTTCGAATTTTAATTTGGGCTTTAGTTACGTTCTGAAGTACGACTTGATTGAAATCTCCAGTCGTGAACTTTGCTTCGGCCAATGAAAATGCAGCTTCTTTCATGACTTCTCCCATCAGCGTTTTTGTGTCTATTATTTTACATAATATCATACGAAATCTCATTTGCAAAGCATCTGCTTTTTTCTTTAACAGACTGTGACCTTTTTGTGCTCCTTTTAATCTACCTTTCATTAACATCTGAGCCCTACCACAAACCAGAAAAATATTTAATAAAAACGTTTATTTATTAATTAATATAAAAATAATTTACTATTTAAGAATATTTTAAGACAATAGTAATTCACTTAAGGTATTACATTCCCTATTGAAGTCAACCTATGTTAGAGAAAAAAAAAAAAATCCTTCAAAAAATTTTTACACGTTAATTATAATGTAATAATTTATAAGTTAATAAATTAATTATTAATAAAATAATATGTAAAGTGTAAATCTTACCCCCTGGATGGAAAAATAGCTAATCTATCTTTCCCAGACATAATTCAAAAAAAATTTTAAATCTTTTTCAGAGCTAAAGTCAGCTGACTATTATTTCCACAATCAAAGGAAAAATTTTTTTTCAAAGGTTTCCGTTCTGAACTTTAATGGAGTACAGAGAAGGAGAAGCATAATATTGGTACCATTGATCTAAGTTTTCAATGTGCATTGTCATTTACTACTTAATAAATACATTACTTATTTAAATTTTTATTTTAAAATAATAATAAAATGAGTTCTATAGGAACAGGGGTGAGTTTTTTAATTTCTTTAAATTTTTCCAATTGATTTTAGGTATTTGACTCCTTCGTCTCATATAATTCAAATATTGTTGTGGTCGCCGGATACTAAAGCATAACAAATACGTAAATGTTGTAATGATTTTTAAAAAATTTTTCAATTCTACCTTTCTGCTGTTATATTTCAAATTTTATTTTAGTAATGTTAAACTTAAAATAATGCATGTTTGTAAAAATCTAATTATAATAATTTATTCACAGTATGATTTGTCCGCGTCTCAATTTTCACCGGACGGTAAAGTTTTTCAAGTAGAATATGCTCAAAAAGCTGTGGAAAATAGTGGTACAGTTATAGGTTTGAGATGTGCTGATGGTGTTGTATTAGCTGTGGAAAAACTTGTTACTAGCAAGCTTTACGAACCTGGAGCCAACAAGAGAATATTTAATATTGATAAACACATTGGAATGGTAACTTATTGTTTTATTTCAATTTTTTTAGTTAAGTTTATAATAACATAATTTAAATGATTGTTATTCACACCAGGCTGTTTGTGGATTAATATCGGATGCAAGACAACTCGTAGATAGAGCAAGGCAAATAGCTTCTAAATGGAGAAGTGAATTTGGTTCGCCGATTCCATTAAAAGCTTTAAATGACAGACTTTCAATGTACATTCATGCCTACACATTATTTTCAGCAGTTAGGCCTTTCGGATGTAATATCATATTGAGTTCATATTCTGAAGAAAATGGTCCTGAAATGTACATGATCGATCCCAGTGGAGTGTCTTATGTAAGAATCGATAATTACTAAATATTAATAATAAAAAATTAAAAAGGAATTTATGTAAACTAACAAGTTTTTTTTTTTTTTTCTAGGGATATTATGCCTGTGCTGGTGGAAAAGCCAAACAAACTGCAAAAACAGAAATAGAAAAATTAAAATTTAAAAATATGAATTGTAAAGATTTAGTAATGGAAGCTGCAAGAATGTAAGCGTGACTCTTAATTATTTAATTATTTTAGTTTTGAAAAAATTGCTTTTTTTCTTTTCGAACACATGAATTCCTTTTTTGCAGAATATATTTAGTACATGATGAATTAAAAGATAAACAATTTGAATTGGAATTGAGTTGGGTTTGTGAGGAGTCTCGAGGAGTTCACGAAAGAGTACCGGAATCAGTATTTGCAGAAGCTGAAAAATTGGCCAAAGACGCCATGGAAGCTGACACAGATTCCGATGATGATATGTAATTTTTCTCAATAAAAATAAAATAAGGTTAACGTTTTTTTGTACACGAGTTTAATCATAATAATATGTAATAATAAATCAAGAAAATTTCAATTAAATTTGTTTAATCGTTAATAATTATTTTAAAAAAAAAAAAAATCTCATTTCAATTTGTATTCGATTGTTGGATTTCGATACATTGTACACTTTGATTTATATTTAATAAAAATAATAATAATAATAATTAATTTTTAATTTAATAGCATTAATTATTTTTTTTATAATAATATATATTATTATTGTAATTGTTATTTTTTAATTATGGGTGAGTTTATAAAAAAAGTTTTAGTATGTAAGTGTAATCGATTGTAAAAAAAGTGATAATAATGATAATTATTATTGAATTTTTATATAATTCGACAAAAAACAAATTTCAGATTGGAAAAAAAAGGATTTGAAAAAGAATTTTGTCGATACTTGACAAAAAAAAAAAAATGTTTAATTAAAATATTTGTATGTACGACGAACAATGTTTCGTTAACAATTAATTTATTTTATATTACAAACATGAAATAATAATAATAATTATTAATATACAGTCATCACTAAAATGAAAAAAAAAAAAAAAAAAAAAAAAAAAAAACCTTGGCAAGATTAACATGGCATTACGAAGAACAACAACAACAAAAAAGAAGACAGTTAAGCATAAATATTCATTTTGCATGTTAATTAATTTTAATTAATTTTATTATTTTAATTTATTAAATTTTTACATAATAATAATAATAATAAAATGTTTTTACAGGTAAATGGAAGAAAAAAAAATTGATTTTTTGATAATAGTTTTAATAATTATTATTATTATTAATTTGCCAGTTTTAAATTTAAATTAATAATAATAATAATAGGGGTAAGTTATGGATAATAATTTATCAAATTTGGCAAAAAAAAAAAAAAAAATTGGAACGACTAGATTTATTAAAACGAATAATGGTCAAATTGAGAATGATCGAAGAGAAAATTTTTCAACCTAAATCTTTTACTGTTGGATTCTGAAATATTATTTAAAAACAAAAATGGCGGGAAAAAATAATTAGGAATCAATTTAATATGTAAATTTAATTTAAATATTTATTTATTTTTTATAATTTGCCTCTTTTTCTCTGTTTCATTGTATTATTGATAAAATTAATTAATTAATGATTTTAAACGTTTGATGATAAACGTTATTATTATTATTATTATTATTATTATTATTATTTTCTTTTAGGCGATGTAACGAAACGCGACTTTGCATCAAAATGAAAATATTAAAAAAATTTTTTTTTTTTTTTTTTGTGCGTAAGATTAATGATAATCTCTCGTGTGAGTGATTGAGTGACTGAGTGACTGATTGATTGATTGATTGATAAAAACGGGTCAATACCATCTTCGTTACAATTTATTTTAAAAAAAAAAAATTTTTTTTTCTAACCTTTTCTTTGGCCATTTTTAAATAACATTCTGATGTTAAAATAGGAACTCAACAAACACCACGTGGATTTTACGTAAAACAATAAAAATCATTTGTAATTTTTTTTCTTTTTTTTCAGTCGTTAACATTTTCCGTTTTAAATTTACCTCGCATTCATCATCATCATCATATTGAAAACGTCGACGAGGAGGAAGAGGATGTTAATGTACGAAAGATGCATTTACCACTCCTCCACTAACCACTCCGCCATCTTTTTGATCACAAGATGATGAATTTATTTTAGATAAATCACCAATGACGCATATTCTATTTTGTATATTATTTGACGTTGTATTTATAGCCGGAAGTTTTCTCTTGTACAAAGTTCTTGCAAAATAACCCAAAAGAACCATTTGTGTTAACATTATCGAATTGTACACGACTGAAACAAGATTTTAGTGTATTTAAAAGGAACGACATTACGAAGAAGAAGAAGAAGAAGAAAATATATATATTTACGATTTGTATACACGGAAGCTGTTATCGGTGGTTTACATGTTAAACCACCCGTCCAAACGACAATTTCGCTACTAAACCTGTAATTAGCAAATAGGAGACGAGTGAAGAACTAAAATTTACCCTGAAGAAAATACATCAGATCGTATTATTTATTTTACTGTTGGAATGTATTTCCCCACGTTACACATACCTGCATGTGATAATCTTTTAGAGTTTCTGCTAACATTTTCATCGTCATTATTATTCCCCAAACTCCTATAAGTATGGATGTGATAACGATTGGTTGGAAATACATGTAATTTAAACTATATAAACTCTAAAAAAAAATTTGATGTTTTATTATAATTAATTATTTTTAACACAGGTATCAATGGTGACGGTGGTGGTGGTTGATAACGTACCTCTTCGTTTGCCCACATGACTAAAAGAACCATGTATAATAATCCTTGAACGACCGGAAGTTGAAGTACGGAAAGCCTTAATAACATCATGTGTTTTCTATAATTAAATTTTTTTTTGAATTAATTTTTTTTTTTTTTTTGGAATTTTCCAAAGTTTAAAACAAAGAAAATAGTCATAGGTCACGCACTTATTGACAGTCAATTGTGGTAATTTACAACATGGATAACAACAACAGGGTGGCACTTTCATATTGAGTGACTTTGGTTTTGCATTTGTTATCAATTCGGCTTCACCACCGCAATAAGCGACAAAAAGGCAAAACAATTGATATAAACTTGCCATAAACATTCCCTGCGTGACAGCTTCGGCTAATAGTTGAGCTCTTGGAACGATTACGGCACAGTACGTTGCTATTGATACAACCTTAAAAAGAAAATGGAGTAGTCGTCAATAAAATTCACGTTGATAATTTATTTATTTTGTTTGTTTCATATTTACCGGATATACGGATAAAACAAATGCGGAATGAGTTTTGACAGCACGTGGTGCATTTTTTAATATGTGACGGAGTGTGTCTGCAAAAAAAAATATGTTGATGGCAACGGCAAGACCGCCAAATGTAAAAAGAATCACACCGAACGTGTTAAAAGCTGGAACAAACAAACAAACAAAAAAAAAAGAAATAGAAAGTTTTAAATTCGATTGTTGTGTTTATGCCTTTCGTCCATTGCTAAATTACAATCCATAATAATTCAGGTACGTGATAGAAAAATATTATTATTATTATTATTATTATTATTATTATTATTATATTATTATTATTATTATTATTATTATTATTATTATTAATTACAAATATAAGCGCTTAAGAAAAAGAAAGTTTTCCGGTTTGTTTGTTTTAAAAAATTAACAAACAAACGATTTATTTACACTTTGTTAAAACGTGTATGAAATAATATGAAATGTTTGTTTGTGCGTTTGTTTTGATGCGTGTGTGTGCAAACAATTATTATTATTATTGTTAACGTGTAATTTGAAAACTCAATCCCCCCTCCATCCCCCCCCCCGTTCGTTCGTTCGTTTGCCATTTTATTAACGAAAAAAAAGACAAATATTTTTCGGTTGTATGACGACAAACGAAATATGTAAATAATTTTTTTTATGATGAATTCGAAAAACTTTTTCGTTTGTATAATAATAATAATAATAATAATAATAATAATGATAATTACGTAAGTTTTTTTTTTTTCTTTTCGCGACCTCCGAAAATTTACGTACGAAATTTGAACGACGACGACGACAGCATAAAAAATTATTATCATTATTATTATTATTATTTATTATACCGTTTCCCTTAGGCCCTTTTTCTTCTCCCACGCTTTAAATTTTTGCAATAATAATAATAATGATAATAATAATGATATAAATATTATATATTTTGCTTTCTCTAATAATTAACCTTACGTAAAATGTTATCAGTCATCCGGAAATAAGAATTTTTTTTTGTTTAATTTAAGGCACGTCCTTTTTTTGTTTCTAGTTGGTGGAAAAAAAAAAAAAAAATAAAATGACAAATCGACCGTTAAAAAAAAAAAAATTAACACCTCGAATAATAATAATAATGATAATGATAATGGTAATGATAAATAATCAACGAAACGTACGAAATGAGGAGCACGCGACGGATTGAAAAATTATTTCAAGTAATTAGTTTTTATTATTATTATTATTTCTTATTATTATTATTATTTATCTAAAAGTTCGTTAAAATTTTACGATTCGAAAATTTTAAAAAATTACAGAAAAAAAAAAAAAAAAATTGCGCGAAATAAAATTTTTCAGGATTTGATGATTTCAGGTAGATAAGCTAAACATAATTTTTTTTAAATTTATAGGATTAGTTTTTAAGAGAAAAGAAAACGTCGTGGCAGGAAGCAAGTCATCTTTATTATGACACTTTTTTAAAATGTGGCAATAATTCGATTGACTATACAAATGGGGGGGGGGACCGTTACGTAACGTATCCAAAAGTAATTCCATTCAAAAAAATAAAGAAGAAGGCTGTGGTGATGATGATGATGATGATGTGAAGACACGATTTCGTGGTTGGATAAAAAATGGCAACGTTGGATGAAATAAAAACGGTTAGTATAGTTTCGTCATTAGATTAAAAAAAAAAAAATCTTTGTTACGAGTATTATGTAACAGTTATTTAAAAAAAAAACGGTTGGGATGTCGTTAAAAAAAAACAATTTGAAAATATTATTACTCTGTTGTTGGATTATGTGTTTTGCTGTCGTTCAATTTTTAAAATCATTCCACGTTAAATTTTTTTTTTGTAAGAAAACAGGAAGTCACGTGAGACGACCTTTTTTGTCGTTTTTTTCTTTATCGAATTGATTTATAATTGTTTGTGGTTTGTCGCGGTTATATGCCGTCGTCATTTTAGTTAAGTGAAACGTTAAATTTCGCGAAAAATAATCTTTCTACCGGAAAATTTTTTTTTTTTTTTTTCCTACACAAAATGGCCGCCGACTTTGAAATTTTCTTTCTTTTTTTATTTTATTACGTAAAAGTACCGGTTAATAATTTTTTTAATTTTTTTTTTTTTTTTCGGGCGTGGTTAACGTTTTTTCTCTTTTTTTTCTATTTCCTTTTCCTGTTATCATTATCATCATCATCCCTGATAAGAAATTTATTACCGTTACGTAATTTTTTTTTCTTTTAATAAATTATAAAACTTTTATATATATATGAAATTTCATTTATGTAATGATATGTTATTAACTTTTGACAAATTAATAACGAATCGACGGTTTTTCTTTACTCGTTTTTCCACAAATATAATAATAATAATGAGGGTTGTAAGGCTTTTCCGAGAAAAAAAAAAATTTTCCTCGTTCGTGCCCTAAAAATTATTTAAAAAAACAGGTCGGACGAATTTTTTTACGATTTTATTACTTGTTTAAATTATTATTATTATTATTATTATTATTATTATTATTATTATTATTATTATTATTATTATTATTATTATTATTATTATTGTTGTTGTTGTTGTTGTTGTTCTTGTACTGGAGTCTTCCGGTTTTGGTTTCGTCAAGATTTTTTTATGATTCGTTCCAGGTTTTATCACTGGAATTTTAAAAATCTCGTCTATGATTTTTTTTTTTTTTTTTGGAAAAAATGAGAAGACATTCCAGTATTATAAACTGGAATCTCTTCGCGTTTAGCATTATCATTATTATTATTATTATTGTTTTTGTCGTATTCGAGTCTTCCGGTTTTGGTTTCGTTAAGATTTTTCTATGATTCGTTCCAGGTTTTATCACTGGAATTTTATAAATGTCGTCGATGTTTTTTTTTTTTGGAAAAAACGAGGCGTTCCAGTATTATTAACTGGAATCATTCGTGTTTAGCATTATTATTATTATTATTATCATTATTATTATTATTATTATCATTATTATTATTATTATTAAAAAAAGTTTGCCTGAGTATTCACGGTTTGTCGCACAAAAAAATTTTTTTTTTTTTCGGTCGAGTTAATCAACGTGTTTTTTTTTTTTTTTTTAATTTATTTAAATATTATCATAATTATTACGTAATCGCGGATAAGCCCGAGGATAATTTTATTATGTATTATAATTATCATTATTATTATTTAATTTATTTCGTTTATTTTTATTTATTTTTCGTTAACGAAAGTTATAATATCCGCTTTCACTCGTTATT